GGTTTGTCATAAAAACAAAAAGATAAGAAAAAAAATGAACAAAAAAAAGTCAAAATTCATCATTCCTAAATGTGGGTGAAGAAAAAAAGGATTGTCTGTAAACCAATCAGAAATCAAGAAACAATTCTGCAAACGGATTTTTTTTGTCTCAGAGAAGTGTAAAAACACAGAGAGATGACCAGACAAATGCATCAGAGTTGATGAAATAATTTTGTCCATTCTCCCATGTCCTACATCAATGGTTCCCAAATAGTGCAACAATCTTCATAGGTGCTGCAGAAGAGGCAGAATCATTGAAAGACAAAGATTTAGAAATTCATATGCCAAAAAAAAAAAAAAAAAAAAAAAAAAATATGATTTCAAAATTTAAAATATTATTATGAATTACTTGTAATTGCATGTATGAGTCCCAGTATCAATAGTTTTGACAATGGTAAAATTGGTCAATAATTATTTGTTTTTGCATTATATCTATACCTTTTCAACTTCAAAATGATAATAATCAACTTCAAAATGAACTTATTTTCAGGTAAAAAAGTTAATCGACTTCAAAATGGATCAATCAACTTCAAATTGAAAATTAATATAATACTAATAAATTTAATATTTATTCTTTTATTTTTACTTAAAAGGGATATAAAAAAAAATATAAACATTCCTAAGAAATTTATTTAAAAGATTACATCATCTAAGTTAATTACAGAGGGAAATAATCTCTGTATTTCAGATATGAAGTTAGAGCAAGTCTCAGGGGAAATATTATTAATTGCCTCGGAGATCATCGCTTCTAACTTGCTGAGGCAGAATTCTTTAATAGTTAAAGATCCCTGGCCATCACCTCTTAAAATCCCAACAATTGAGTCTGCCATACTTCTTTTTACGTCAGCTTTAATGACTGACCAAACCTTTTAAATGGGATTTAACATTAGACTATAGGGGACAAGTCTAAAAACTTGGTGTTGCCTAAATTCATCCTCCTCCACAACTTCTTCAAGTTATGGATGTTATTTCCCCTGGATCCAGCTGCAACTGTAGTGCACCTTGTGCCTTTTTTAGAGCAACCTTCTCTTCTTGAAATATGGAGATTAAAATTGGTTTCATCCATATAAAGAATTGGCACACTTTGGGATTGAAATTCTAATAAAGCTACTGCATAAACCCTTACGTTTCACCTTAGTGACATTATTATTGGCAGCTTCTGGTTCATAATGAACCGCTTTTAAAGTAAAGGCCATGGAGTCCAAGTTTCATTACACGAACCTCATACTTTTTGACCAACTTAATTACAATGTCTTGAAGAGTGACCCTAGGAGAGTTTTCAATTAATTCAGCCATAAAATTCTTATGCTCTTGTGGAATTTTATATTTTCTTGCTCCTTCCCTAGAGTCACTCTTATCAGCACCCTGGTCTAACCAATGGTACGCTGTTGGCAGACACACACCAATTGTTCTTGCCAGGTCTTTCCAATATCCTGCTGCGGCATGTGCAGCTAAAATCTGGGCCTTTTTTTTTCACCAACCACAGTTTTCTTGAGGTAAGTCCTCTTTGGAGCTGTTGCTAATTCTTCTTCAGCTTCTTTTGTAGAGGTTTCTCCAGCATCATCATCAATCATCATTTTTGCCCATACAGGACTTTCTCCTCCTACTTTTACTGTAGGCTCACCCAATGCTTTCTTGGCCTCTAAGTTGTTTGTATTTTGGTTTTTTCTTCATCTATATAATGAAGATGAACAGTCATGGGGTAAATTAATTGAAAAAATAATTTTCAATTTACCAAAAAAAAATCTCAATTTGAAGTTGTTTATTCCAATTTGAAGTTGATTGTTTTTAGGTTTTTGACATTTTCTCAATTTGAAGTTGATTGTTCCATTTTGAAGTTGATTGATTTTTTTTTACTTGAAAATAAGTCCATTTTGAAGTTGAAAAGGTATAGTATTAGGATTAACTAGGCTCTGCGAATTGGAAAAAAATGTTATCAATGATAATGTTCCGACTTTGAATTCAGGGTTATCTCCCTTTACCCCCCCCCCTATTTTTTAAATGTACTTTTTATCACATTAATTTTGGTGAGGTGCAAGACATTTTCATTCAGAAAAAAAGTTTGGGAACTACTGAATCTAACAAAAAGCACCCCTCTTCAATATTTATGAAGTTCAGAGAGATTCCTTAGCCAACACGGTCATCTGATTAAGCAATTTCCAAATATGCAATCAACAAACTCTAGAAAATTCAATAACAGAAAAAAAAAAAAAAAAACCTGAGCCAGAGACATTAATGGCAGTTATAGAAAAATTTATTTTTTTCTTAGTGAAGCTAAAAATATGGCTGTAAAGTTTACATTATTTTTTACATATAATTCAAATCCATTTTGTAAAATTAGAAAAATAAATAAATAAAAAAATTAACAGAGAAATATATATCTTTTAAAAGCCTTTTGTGACACAAGTGTATATCTTTTGTCAAACAAATTGAATGTGTACAGATAATGTCTCAAATAATAGCAATGTTTCAAGCAATCATTTTTACTGATAGATCTTTTTTCAGATTTTCATAGATATTTAAAACTTACCTTCATTTTGTAAGTTTAATTAAGAAAAAAATAAGTAAGTCTTAAAACAAATATTTTATCTGTCACATAATAGAGATGTTTGCATATACAGTTCAGACAAAATGTACTGACTATTATGGGATAGAGGTAGTATGTTTTTAAACTCTTTCATAACTCTTTAGACTCTGAATTATAATTTCATTGCTCAGAAAATAATAATTAATTATTAATTGTTTAAATAAATATTAGTGTTCTTCTGTTCTTTCTAGTAAAGAAATTCAAGGACAAAAAATTCAATTCAAAATACAAGTTTTAAAATTATTATTTTTTTAAATGTAAGTAAATTTAGCCATTTTTACAAGTAAATATTCTCCTATACCTATCTAATAGAAACAATTATATTCATTTAGCCTTCTGTTAAAATTGTCAGGCATTGTCATTAGTAATGTGGAGTTTTCAAACACACCATTATATAATTTAGTTCTTAATTTGAGAGTTTCACTTTTATTAAAGCTTCAAAGAAAAAATATGGAAAAATAAATTTTGGTATTTTTACATTTTTTTTTTAATTTTTTTTTTTTATCTTTTAAACATTTCCTATTTGTTCTTTATCAATTTTAGTGTTATAAGTTTTAAATTTTCTTTCTCGTTTTTATAGGATAAATAAAAATGAAAAAAGTTTGATTTTGAAGAATCAAATTGAAATGCCAATATCAAAAAAAAAAAAAAAAAATGAATTTTATTTTTAGTTTTAAAATATGCAAAAATAGGTTTCATTTTATTTTCAATAAACATTTGTAATTCATACAAATATGGCGAAAACCAAATAATCTCTATTCATTACTTGACAGAGTTATTCAGAAAGCTACTTGACTAACCATGAAAACTTCACTTGCTAAATATTAAAAAAATCATTTTGTGTGATGTTCAGCTGTACTAACTGCCATAGACAAAACCAAAAGATTTTCTGTAAGAATTTCTATAACCCAATCTAAGATTTATAATTTTTTTTTTACTTGTGACACAATAAATGTCCTAAAATGGATTTCACATGATTTCTTCTGTAAATGACTTAATATAAAAAAAATTTAATAAAACATACCTTTCATTTAAATGCAATATTTAATATTATTTAAATATGAAAAACAAATTTGAATCATATTACTTTTAATGATATTTACATAAATGTTTTGATTGTTATATGATACATGATTTTAGAAGAATATATCAAATATTCTCTTCCCCCATAGATAAAAAAAAAATTCTCTTTATTGACATTTTTACAAATATTTAATTTTATGATGTTAAAAAAAAAAAAAATTAAAGTTTGTGAAGAAAAATGAATCTTGAATTCATTTCTATCTTTGCCTCCACATTACATAGTATGAATTCACAATTAAGCCCCTCAAACAAGTGTTATTTAATTTCAGTCTTTTTACAATAGTCATTCTTACAAAACCTTTATTCAAATTTTTTTGCACACTGATAATTTTGATTGTTCAATCTATACGGCATTAAAAGCAGATGTCATTGATGAAAACACCAGGGAAGGTTGCATGTTTATCTGTCGAATCTTAATTTACAAGCAACAGTGGAAAAATCCCAAACAAATGACTGAAATGGCCTTTTCTAATATATCAGCCAGTTATGTGCCATGTGAGATACACACTTAGGCAATCATGTATCTTTCCATACATAACTGACAAAGTAGATTTTTCTTCCTGCAATAGGTTGCCATTTCTTTCAGCAGTAGACCAGTTGCTATTCATGTCTATAGAACATGGTCTGTCCTGCTATTTACACATCTAATATATACCAGTTTTAATTTTAATCTGAGAATGAACTCATTTAAATGCACAAATTTCTCGTGGTTGCTACCAATTTTTCTGAATCACTGATATCAACATTAGTCATAAAGCAAAGAAGGTAGTTGTATGAAAGTTAAGATTTTATTGTCGCTAGCATCATCGTGGCTCTTAGTTTAAAAAAAAAAAATGTGACAAATTTTTTTTTAATGTAAACAGAATCAATTTATAAAAAAAAAAAAATAGCTCTAGTTTTTGCAATAGTTACCATATATAAAAATTAAAAGACAGTTTTTGTCTCATTCAAAGAAAACCTTTTCAACTAGTTTGACATGACCAATTTTTTTCTTAGTCATTTTTGTCAAACAGTAGGCCAGAAATGTTGTATGAAAAGTGAATGATGAATTTGAATGACCCCCAAAGTCAAACAGGAAAGAAAGTAAATATCATGTTGTCAAAGTGCAGAAATTATGATTAATTACCTGACTCACATATTTACACACACACACACACATACATATAACAAGAGCACTTAAAAACAGTAAAAAGCTTGAATGCGAGATCAGAATAACATTACATGTTATTTGAGATTTTAAGTTTCATCTTTAGCACTCACATATTAAAACCAAAAATCATGTACAAGAATTTCAGTTGAGTGGTTCCGAGTCTGGATCTGGTTGGACTTCTTGCTTCATCGATCCATCATGTTGTCGAATTCGATGCACTTTCTGTCGCTTAAAAAAGCCACACTACAACAGAAATACACAAATGGAATTGTTTTGTATTAAGACAAAGCAGCAGACAAAATAATGAAGAATTGTGATTCTGTAAAGCATGCATTAACATCATTATTAATTTATGCAAAAGTTATAAGCAAAATTGAAATAAGAAAGCTAATAATAGAAAATTCTCCAAAATAAATAAGAAATATTTTTTGTAATCATTTCACCGCAAGCAAGGCAATAAAGCCACCGAGACAAGGGTTTACTGAGTGTGATCGAATAAGAAAAATAAAAACATTATCAAAGAATGAGAACAATAAGAGAGGAATTCAAGATGACAATAGATAATTAAATTTTTGAAGATGGATTTAATTAAACTTAAAAATATGTAGATGTCAGAAGCAGGAATTATTGTTGATATATTTTGCTGTTTTAAATATAGTGGATAACTTATAAAATTACCATAGGATTTCCAGTCATTTTTGTGTGTGTGTGCGTGTATATATAAGATAGAAACCTCTGAAACTATACAATCACTATTTTAAAAATAGAATTTGCTATTTGAATGCAAAGATATATTATATAATGCTAGGGAAGAATGTGAACTGGACAATAGATGAATCGATCTGTTCCTATTCATTTACTCCTTTACATAAAAAAATGAAGTGCTGAGAAAAATGTCAGTTACATCAAATGTTGTCTCCAGGCTGTCTTTGCTAAGTGGTTTAAGTTGTGGGGAATCAAATTTTTCAAGAAAAGCTAAATTAAATTGATAAATTCAAATTTTTTCATTTATAAAAATGGAAACATGCACTAAATTATGTTGCCCATTACTTCTAAAAAAAAATAATACAAAAATATATAAAGCAAAAAATAATTTGCAGAAACAACTTTTGTTATGACAACTCTAAAGAATTTCTAATTTTACTGCTTTTAATTTGATTAATTTTTCATAGAATTTAAAATGAGTAAAAAAAAAATTCAAACAGCAATTTTAAATAATTTTTCTGTCAAATCCTATGAGAAATCTACTTCCCACTCCCTGCTGTACTAAAACAGGGAAGAGTGTGCAGGTCGAATCAGATTCCTTCTGAAAAAAAAAAAAACCTCCATAATAACTAACTTTACATCTTCGTTATGTATCAAATGAGGGGATGGAATAAAACTATTTTGTAAATTAACAAATTGATTACAGTTTCTAGACTATTTATCTGGATGTCAGAAAACTGGAAGTTTTTCAAAATGGTGAACTTGTCACTAAATTGAATGCCATTGAATTAAGAAAAATCCAATTTAAAAAAAAACAACTCATTTTTATATTATAAGTTATTTGTTTTTGCTTTTGTACAAAAGAAAAAAAAAAATTTTTTTTCAATCCTATAGAGTGACAATTAATAAATGATTGTAAAGGTTATTTTTTAACAACACAAGCACCAAAATTGTACAGAATTTCTGGGATTTAATTACATCTGCCTAAAATAGATTCCCAGAGACGATCTTGGTGTTTATGATAATTACAGGCAAAATGTTTAGTTAATTCTAATCATAATGATCAATAAATAAACTTTCAAGTAAGAAAGAAATTATTGAAAGTTAAAACAGTGTTTCAGTTCAAGACAAAAGTCTGTCTTTTATTTTTAGTATTTCATTGACTGAATTGTAATTTTTTATCTGAAGTTTTAAAATCAAAATCAATTCTTTCCTTTCTGCTTTGTTTTAAAGAATATTTGTCATACCCTGCTAGAACACAAATTCTTTAAATCAAACGCAAAAGTTCACTCTGATTTTTGCTCAGTGAATATCAATATTTTTGATTGATGATTTAAACATTTACAATGTTTAATGAGCATCATTTATTCACTCATGAATAAAGTTTAAATCACTAATTGACAACTATAGTAGGAATCATGAAGTTACAATTTAGATTCATTCATTTCTTGGCGTATTTGTATGCAAATAAAGCTGAAAGAAAAAGCCAAAGACAGTTTCATATTTGCATGCAATGCTTCTTATAAAAATAAAAAAAATGGTGAAATTGGTAACAATTTAGGGCAAAGAATGTACTGCTCCATTATGGATTGAATACTTCAAGGAGTATATTGTTAAAAAAACAAAATATTTCAAGGAGTATGATATTGTTAGAAAGCACAATACTTCAAGGCGTATCACACTGTTAAAAACATAATACTTCAAGGAGTATGATACTGTTAAAACCGATACTTCAAAAGAGTACCAGACTGTTAGAAAACATATTTCAAGGAGTTTCATACTGTTAAAAAGAAGAAAAAAAATTAAATTTAGGAACATAACATTTGTTGCATTTTGATTGTTTCTTTATTGTTAAGAGTTAAAATATAATTTTGTATAAACTGTAAAAAAGCATGAAATTTCATTTAAAAAAATAAATTTCCTCATTTTTAACCAATTTTACATGCACCTTCATGGCATGGTTTCCTGCCACTTAACAATTAATGCCTTGAAAACTGAAAATTTAAAAACTACAATATAAACATTTTGTTTAGCAACTTTTTAGTTTTATTTGTTAAAATATTTTGTAGATTTACAACACGTAAAGTTTTAATTGAATCAATAACAGTCAAACAAACTCTACTTTAATTATTTAATTTACCTGTTTTAATTAATTCTATACCATAATTATATATTAAGCCATGGTCTAAAACAAAAAAGAAAAATTTCATGTCATCCTGCCAGTCTTCTCTCTTCTTGCTTGAACACCAATACCTTTTATGACTCAAGCCCACTCCAAACCTCTAGTGGAACTTGTATATATGATCCATTTCTAAAGACACTGGAACAAATAGTCAGTTCTTTCTACTATGCAAGAAAATATCTATCTTCTCCTACTAGGTTCTATTCCTACAAAAAGCCAAATCAGACAAAAAAAAAAAAAAAAAAAAATGGAATTTTGCTGCCATATCTGGGCTGGAACTGTCCAGTCCTCACTTGCCTGTTTGGTTAGAGTTCAGAAGCATCTATGTGACCTGCTGAATGATTAATTATTTTCTACCCTACAACCTATTTCCCCACAACCAAAATGTCACAGTCCCTTGTTACTCTATCACTATTTCAATAGCAAATAGTCTGACAAGTTACATTCCTTAGTTCCACCAGTCCTGATCTTTGCAGTTAAGAGCCACTATAGTATATACACAGAAAAATCATCCCCATTTCTTTCATATTCCATAAGTAAGGAGGAAGTTCCACTTCAATAGCTTTTTCCCTAGAATCTGCTGCTTTGTGGAATAGATTCTTAACAAGATGTTTTCCCAATCACTACACTCTTAACCTCTTCGTGTCTAGGTTTAACTGCTAGCTCTCCTATCAGCATCAACTGCACTTATTGCCTCCTCTTCTTACACAACATTATTCAGTAACCCTCTACCTCGAGTGGCTCTTGGGCCTTGTATTGGGTGAACATAAGTGTAAAAAAAAAATGTTCTGTACATGGTTTCAAGTTGGAAAAACATTGTAAGCAAGAGATAATATTTTGCTTTCATAGATGCATTTAAACAGTATTTTAAGAATTAATTTTTCATTTATTAATACAACAGATTTTATTAAATGCTATTTTAGCGAATACCCATATTTGAATAGATGCTCTGTTTATTTATTAAACAGTGTGTGTGTATATATATATATATATATATATGTCTACTGGCCTGTCAAGAAATTTTATTAGAAAAATATGCACTCTCTGGCAGGATTTGAACCTAAGAGAATGCAGGTTTGAATCCTGCCAGAGAGCACATGTTTTTCTAAGATTTTTTGATTATTAAGGCCAGTAGACAAAAATAAATATATGTACTGTTTAATAAATAAATGGAACATTTACTCAGATATTGGTATCCACTAAAACATAACAAACAAGTGATGAGTCTAACTCTGCAGGTTCAAAACTAGTTAGCAAGGATTTTGGTCCATATTGAAAAATAAAAATAAAATCTAGACTGAGAATTGGTGGGATTATTGATCCAAGAAAATTCTATAGTCAGTTATTCTGTAGTAAAGTTTATAGTTTTTTTTATTTCTCTGCAGAATTAATAAAACAATTGACATTAAAATATAAATAAAACAAGCAAGAAAAATACCAACACCAAAAGTAATAAAAAGTTTTCTAAGAGAAGCAAAAGTAAACATGCAATTCCCATTTCATTAGCAAGTTGGAAGCTCATGTATAGAAAGCAAAAAGATATTTGCAGCACAAGAATAAATCAGTGTTTCTTTGCCTCAAATTTGTTTATTTTACCTTTTCCTAATTTTCTTTAAATCTCCATTACAAATAAATAAAAGTCTAAAAGAGAATCCTGAATCCATTAATAGCTAGAAATAACTTTCTTTTTTTTCAAACTAAACATTGATTTGACTATTTTAATTCACCTATGAAATCAAGTGTTTGAGGTTTTGTTATTTTACTATCTGTAAATCAGAAAGAAGAAAAGCTTTTTAGTTATATTACTTTTAAAAAGTATAAAAACTTTCCAATAACAACATATATTCTTAAACAACTTCTCAAACATTTTCAGTGTAACAGCATTAAAATTTTATGTTATGATTTTGTGGATTTGGTTTTTATGGCTTATCAGCCTTTTGTGAGTTATTTAACCTTTAGCACTCCACATTATTAATATTAATTCACATTCCATGAATTCTTTTTCAAGGCTGCTCAGTTGCAGTAACCTTGTTAATTTAATTCAAAGTTGTTTCCTGTTGCCATAGCAGGATATGACAACACAACTATGAAATTCAAACACACTATTGTTCAGGGATCAGTGTCACCTTCAGTGACAGGATAAACTTTTTGTTTAGCAAATGAAGTTGCATATAGATTAATAAATGTTAAAAACCATAACATTTTCTTTAATTGTAACAATAATTCTTTTTTTTTTTTTTTTGCAAGTGAATACAGAATTAAAATCTTTTTAGAATAATAATGTTTTTTTTTTTTTTTTTTTTTCGTCAGATATAAGTCTTTCTATTTAATCACTTCTGGTCTCATGGGCCCACAC